GCTTGCTACCATTCAGTCCAGAACCTTTTGTCTTCTCGTCTGCTGGCCAAAAACATAAAAATTATAGTATACAAAACTATAATTTTGCCGGTGGTTATGTGTGTGTGTGAAACTTGGTCTCTGACATTAAGGGAGGAACATAGACTGAGGGTGTTTAAGAAGAGGGTTTTGAAGGGAATATTTGGACCAAAGAGAGATGAAGTGATAGGAGGTTGGAGAAAACTGCATAATGAGGAGCTTCATAACGTGTACTCTTCTCCAAGTATAATTAGAATGATCAAGTCAAGGAGGATGAGGTGGGCAGGGCATGTAGCACGAATTGGGGAGAAAATGAATGCATATAGGATATTGATGGGAAATCCAGAAGTAAAGAGACCACTAGGAAGACCAAGGCGTAGGTAGGTGGACAATATTAAAATGAATCTTAAAGAGATAGGATGGAATGGTATTGATTGGATTTATCTGGCTCAGGATAGGAGCCATTTGAGGGCTCTTGTGAATACGGTAATGAACCTTCGGGTTCCATAAAATGCTGGGAAATTCTTGAGTAGCTGCAGATTTGGTTTCTCCTCAAGAAGGGCTCAAATCCGTAAGTAAGTTATTGTTATTAATATGGACACGGTTTGGTATTGGCTTATGTATGGGATATTGCATGACATGACATGGAAATCTAAAAAAGAAATGTGGGGGATGTGAGAATGAGTCCCTTGGCAGTATAAAACTGTGTGGGTCTATTTTACCAGACCCTGTTGTTGCTGACTCTAATGAAGCAAGAGGCATAAATAAAATATATGCAATACATGGAATGACAGCCCTTTTTTATATTCGTTTTAATCCAAATCTATTCCGCAGTACCAACTCTACTAGATCTTAATTCTTTTACATTCCTAGAGATTTCGGGTATTGTTTGTAAAATTTTACAGACACTTCAGTCACTGAACATTAGACTGAATAGTAGTTGACAAAAATATTGTGGTCCAGCATGACGCAGAGCTGCTCTTCGCAAGAAAATGCGACCTACACAGCTGTGTCGTCTTTAAAACATTAAGAGAACATAGCTTCAGTAGTGTACTTTACTTATGAATGCCAGAGGGTACACGAGTTTATTACAATAAAGAATTCTAAATCTCGAGTTATGACTTTAAACTTGTTCCGTACGCTTAAAACAGTCATTTTTATGGTTAATATTCTTACCGTTGAACTGTGAGCACGGTACATTGTAATATTCCAATGTTTGCGGACGTGAATGTTAAGTTTTATTATCTCAATAAACATGCCTACTTTTCTTGAAATCACATCTTCCAGTGCTAGAAGAAATATTATGAGATGGAATCTTCTTTTCATCAGCGAACCGCGTTTGTTTATTCTGGAAAGCAGTTTCAGAGCACGGTTATGTGGCCAGCAGATTGGACGGCTGTAGGCAGGAAACCTAGCTAGAGCATGGCTTAATCTGCCGCAGCAATGGGGCAATAAAAGTGCCCGATTGTGCGTGCTCATATTGCCACTGCAGCAAATTTGATATTCCCGTTTCAAGAAGAAATTCCAGGCAGTGAAAATACACGTACACCTCACGTAGCACAGAGAGTGGTTATGTGTTCTGTAACATTGCTATAATTGTGTTGTATTATTTAAGTGTAATGGTACTATTATGAACACCGAAACGGAGAGATTAAACTGTAATTATGTTTGACGCATATTTTTAAGATATATTTAATATATACTATGTTTGAAGAATGGATTTTATTCCCGTTTTAAGGTCGTTGGTTGACCCTATACCGAGATACATCGGTATTAGCAGCACATGTAAGATTAGAGATGTAAATGATTGTACAGAGCAGTGGTTCTTAACCTGGGATGTACACCCCCTGGGGTGCGTGATGCCTTTCTGGGGGTGAGAGATATAACAACATTTTTAAAAGCAAAATAATCGAAAACACAAATTGAACAGAGGGACGTAAGTACAACTACTTTGTTTCATCAGTCAATTGTATTTATTAATATTATACGCTTTTAACTATTACTGTAATATAGAAACAGAGCAAGTATTTGTTTTCAAAAAAGATCCACAGCAACAGTCATTTCTAAAGGGTATGAGACTATATTTTGAGATACAAGAAGATGCAGGCTTCAGTAAAATTTAAGAACTGCTCTAGAGTCACCATATATATACTGTGACGTGTCGCGCTATGGAGGACACCCCTTCTCTCCCTGAGTGCTCTCTCTGGGTTTTGGTTCGGATATTTGATTTATTGACCACTTTAAAATAATACTTGTAATTGCACTTAATTATAATGATATTACTGATCTCCACATTTTAAAAGTCAATAGAACAAACACACTAGTGTTCTCACACTGTTTCATTGTCCACTATCTGTTTCCTGATAACGGTTTATAACAATGACAGTGCCTCTGCTTGCGGGCTCAAGTCCTCTCTGAATGACAGCTTCCTTCCAATTGAGCGCTCCTGAAACTGACTGGTTGCCTCAGAACTTCCCGATTGTAACAGTTCGGCACAGACCACACAGAACATACCGTTCCTCTGTTGCTTGTTCAGTTGTTGCAGTTCACTTGTAGGTTATCAAGAATCTGCTGCCTAGTAACGGGCGTTGTTTCGTTGTATGTTTTGCCTCCGTTAACTAGAAACTAATGTTGTTTCAGAGCCGTTCGCTATCGACGGCTGTTTTTCTGGATCCGCAGTTCTTAATTTGAGCAAATACTGCACAATGTTTTAGGTTCTGCAGGATTCCAGTTTTAAACCCAGCCGCTTTTACCAATGTAAAAAAATTTATCAACTTCTTGAAAACCACATGTACTTTATATGTAGGAGATACCTCACACAAAAAATTCATCTATATACTTGTTTTGAAACGCCTCTAACATTGTTACATAACATTGGTCAACCGGTATTCTTGGTCGGGGAAATTTTGAAAGGTTTAGATGGCGCTCTGTGGGAAAAGCCGTCAACCGGCTGCTCTCAGGCAACAGTGTGCCCGCTGTTAACTTTAACTTTGTTATATTTTATCTTTCACTTCTGCTAGAGTAGGAAAATATTTATGCCTAAACTTCATTAAATGATATTCTGATCCATCTTTTATTTTATCTGCTTTGGTTTATTTGAGAACGGCTGGGATTAACAATATTTTATAATGTAAAAAAATACGATGATCAGCGAATAATGAATTGCAATTAACGTGAATGGAAGCCGTTGTGGTCCAGTTCCATGTGGGTTTGCTATCACTGCATTTTTCCACAGTAAAGAAAAAAGAAAAACCTTCCGTCATGATTTCTTTTTAATTCGCTTAGTGGGGGGTGGAGTCCAACTGGGTCCACTCGGCACGGAGGCCACTGATTGGCCTATTGCAGCCTGCCCCGGGTGATTATGATGATGGAGAATTTGGTGGAATGAAGATCGGCACGGGAAACCGAAGTATTCGGAGAAAACCCGGCCCAGCGCCACTTTGTTCACCACAAGTCCCACTTGACCAGAACCGGGATCGAACCCGAATATAAAACCAGCTGTAAGTATTATTGTGTTGAATTAATGACAAATATTATCTGTGTCAACAAATTATTAAGCTAATACTTATTGTTACTATCTGCAAACGTCATTTTCCTTCGGATGTAGTCATATGTGTTTCTAATATAATTATAATATTTAGGACTCTACAGTGAAAATTCGACCCCACATCTCTTTATAAAAAAATATTTAGAAATAAATATGATGCAATAAGTGTTGACCTAATACTCTTAGCGTGAACAGGTTCCAGTCGCCACAGTCTATGAGTTGCTCACTGCACTAGAATCAGACCGCTTTGCTGTCGTCAGGTCTTTTTTGGCAGATCCTTGTACCTTTGCCTTCAACTTTCCGTTGTTTCAGAGCACTGAATTCCTTAATGAGCCAGTACGCAGGGTTGGTTTGTGTGAGAGGAAAATTCGTTCAAACCCAGTTAATTTATGCCAGGTAACTTATTCAATAATCAAGTAACTAATTAGCTCCTCAGAATAGATTCTATCTCCAGAATCTAATGGCCAATTAGTTTCCCAAAAGAGTCCCTGAATATTATGGAACCGAATAGTTTATTACTGTGTTCACAAGATCTCTCCACTGAACACTAACCTGAGCCAGATGAAACCACGCCGCATCCTCTCCAGTATCTTGTATGAAAAATTTTAATATTATCTTCCCATCTACACGGGCACCTGAAGTACATTTGTAGGCCCCTATGAACTCGTATTTGAAGGCTGTGCCACAGCTAACGCGGTTAGCCTTTGGCTTACCACCGCAGCGGTCCGGGTTTTATCCCAGTTCATATTATGTGTGATGTGTGCTGAAGAAACAGGCACAGAGGGTGGGTTTCCTCGAGCAACTAGGTTCTCGTTGCTAATTCCAGCTGACGCAATATACTGGTCCTGACACTGCAAGCGTCTTTAAACAAGAAAACGTTAGACGAAGAACTTGTACTCGTATTTGATGCACAATTTACACTTCACTTGTAATATACTCGTATTTTCAACATATAATTCCTTAGGTCTATTTAAACTGCATAATAAATGCATTCGACTCAGCCTACTTTCCCTACTTTGAACAAATAAAAGTAGGCTTATTGTATCACCATGTTGTCTGTGTGCGCGCTTGTATCTTTTCGTGTATCCCCCTTCTTATCTTTTGAACAGTTGAACTTCTTATCTGTATCAAGGCAACAGAGCTCATCTAAATGGTGTCATTTATAAATCCCTTCCATCAGTAATACCAATATTGAAGCACCTCTAATTTCTGAGGCAAAACGTGCCAATCTCCATGAACCCTGGTTTATGCATCACGCCACATGAATCCATCTCAACGGAATACATCATACATTCCTTCCATCAGTAATGCCAACATTGCAGCCCTTCTAATTTACAGGCCGACTTCTAAAGCAAACCTCTCACTCGGTAATTAATTGACGAGAGTGGTTATAGATGTACTCTGTAGGCTCTAAGTCGTCCATTCCGTCATGCAGGTGCGGTGGGCATCCAGATCACGGACCTCAGGGTACCGCCTGCTGTCCGGAACAACTCAGGCTCAGCCGCGCTTCTGGACTGCGAGTACACGCTGAAGCCGGAGGAACTGGCCGCAGACAAGTACTCGGGCCTTGTGGTGAAGTGGTACTTCAAAAACAGTCCGAGTCCGGTGTACCAGTGGATCCCGGGACAGAAGCCGCAGGACCTGGGCATTCTCAAGGGCAAGCTGGACCTGAGTCACCGTGCCTCAGACCACGGAGCCACAATGCACCGCGCTCTCTACATCACAAACCCCACGACCGAACTTTCGGGAGAATACAAGTGCTTCGTGTCCACCTTCGACGACGAGGATTTCATGACCAAGAAGATGGTCGTCTTCGGTGAGTAGAAAGACTTTTGTTGAAACATAAGTATGAAGTTCCATTGATAGACCTGTCCAAATTTTTCTTTCTAAATTCTAGTTCCCAATGGAAATCGCCACGTTTCGGCATCAAACGTTGTTCTATTATCCTTGATTGAAGGATAGCGAATACTTCTCGCTAAAAGAAATTTATTCAACAGTGAACCAGACTTCTCCCTTAATGAGAGTTCTACGTTTGTTCAATATTTCTTCACACATTTTGCTAAAGAGAGTATTCCCCAAATAAATATTTTTCTCTCTCTCTGATAAACAGCAGAGGAGGCAGGGGATTTTGACTGCAATCGGGCGTCAAGTGATATCCGTACAAAGCTACTATAACACAGATGTAAATAGAGAGAAAAAGAAAGTGCTTTCTCTCAGTCTATGTAATCAAAATGTTGATTATCAAACAGGAAGTTATATTCCTGTAGTTCCAAGCGATCATCTCTCTTTTTCAAGCCTCGACAATAAGCTCCGCCATCTTACTACTTATATCCTTACCCTGTCCATGGATAAGGAGACACTGAAAAGGTAGTAACGCTGTGGGCTATAGATGACTATAAACGTGAGGTGATCAAATTGTCCTACATGTAAGATTGCAGGTCCTCACATTCGTGGTTATTAAGAGTTCTGTGTTCCGGCAGGGACTACACGGCGTTATACGAGTATCTCAGAAGGTGGCCATAATGTACCAGCAGGTAGAATTAATAAAATTATGATCACCAGCACCAGGGCAGTGCCATTAGCAAAGTACAATAATGTCCTTCATAAATTTATTTCCTTTCAATTCATACACAATGTAGGATTATTATTTGTTTTGTGTTATTTGCCTCTGTTGAATTATTGAGCACCAGTCGCCATTGTATTCTTTAGGTTGTTCTGTAGCCTACTAACGCTGAAGCTTTATTTTGCACAAGTCACTCATATGCATCCTACTTTGGCATTGTTTACATCGATACGTTAAAATTCGAGGCTATTCGTGTACGATGATTTTTTCAAATGTAGTGTATATCACATGAAGTTAATTGACAAAATACATTGATGATTTGAAGCCGGTTCGTCTGTCAATGTCATGCTCAGCGAAGAGTTCGTTTTATAAATACACGGACAATAATGACATTTATGAATCTTGCTTCATATTCGAGAGGTCTTGTTCTTTAATCACTCCGAGAAATCGGTTGTCTGACACAGTTCTCACTTATAATAAATCAATGGGATGGCATTTACTTGATTTATAGAGCTACCTTCATATGTTTAACAACTTATATTTCATAATAATGCTACCTTTCACGCTGATAAGCCTTAATATTATCACGTGTTAGTGACTAGACGCGGGTTTGGATAGGTTTTGGATTTATTGGGCTGGTCACTAGCATGAACTGTCTTTGCTCGCTCGGAAACCGGGTTCGTGGGTTCGAATCCCACACAAGGAATGGATGTTTAGTATGTGTAGTATTTATTCTGTGTTTGTACTGTCCTGTGTTTAGGTAGAGACGTTGCGACGGGTTGATCACTCGCCCAAGGAGTACTACTGTCTGTAAAATGATCATGAAACTGAAAATCAGAGGCTAAGATTCAAGGAGACTATATAGCCAGTGAAAAAAATAAATTTTTAACTCATAAAATGTAACTACAAGTAATTATAACGCTGTCACCAGTTCGGGCACTCTAATCCTCACTATTTTTTTTATTGCTAGTGGTGTGGGGCTAAGTCCCTTGTACTGCGGTCACTTCTGGCCTATTGTACCAGCCCCAGATGATAGGTGAGGGTGATTGTGCAGCAATTGGTGGAATGAGGATTGGCAGGGGAAACCGAAGTACTCGGAGAAAAACTGCCCCAGCGCCACTTTGTCCACCACAAATCTCACTTGACCAGAACCGGGATAGAACCCGGGCCGCCGCGGTAGGAAACGAGCGACTAACCGCTTGAGCTATGGCGCGGCATAATCCTCACTACATCTTAAGCTACCTCTTTCTTATGTCTTCACCACCCTTTGTTTGGCCGTCTGTTCTGGTTATACGCCCTAGGTAGCGACCGCATAGAAAACACCGTCTTATAGTCGTTATTTATCAGCCATTGCCTAGCAATGGTTGTCTCCTGCAGTCGTCAAATCACAATATATATGTTGAATAATATTCGTCACATGAATCACTCAGCCTCTTGTCAAATGAACAGGATGGTCTTTCTCCCCGAAGTGTAGGGCTGACCACAGAGGTTCATCTAACTTAGAGTTTAATCTTATGCATCAATGGTAAATTTTGTAACACTTATTGTAACATTAAAATCTTTACGTTTTACTCATACAGCTTATGTATAAATCTCATACGATTCTCAGAATTAAGATAGATTGTTTCCGCAAACTTCACTAACAGGTTGGTTTATGTAACGGACACGCAGTAGTTTCCTAAGAGATGGAAATTTATAAATATTATTTAGAAGAATTTCATGCCCCACATAATTAGTTCATGGACGGACTATCACTAATATATGAAAGTAATGGAACGAATTTCGAAATTTGGCGATTATCAAAAGTCATTTTTAATTTTGAGGTCACCGGTTTACGCTATCTTACTAATGGAGTTTTTAGTAGTTTACTCTGATGTTAGTTATTATGAAAAGTGAAATGAAAACAATGGAAGATGAGAAATAAATTTGAATATTTTTTTTCTTTGGCACTACAGCCCCAGTGGGCCTAGGCCTACCTCCATGAACTCCGAATTTGAATATTAGTAGGATAAATTGAAAAGGAAAACCATTTCGAAAACCTAGATGTCGATGGAAAGACCAAATTACAATTATTCTTATGGAAGTAGGATATGATATTGTGAACTGCATTAATATTGTTCATGATAGAAATCAACGGAAAAATTTTGTATAAGGAGTAATGAAGTTTAGGTTTTCACAAAAGATGGGGAAATATTTGGGATACTTTTGCCATATAATTCCTCAAGAAATTCTCTGCTCCGTGGAGTTATTCTAGTTCATTGTTTATAAATGGAAAGTATGACATAGCAACTGAAGCTTTATCAAGACATTATCTCTAAACACTTTTCCAGTGAGGGAGGATAACTCATGAAATGCTTCGTAAAGGAGGCAGAATTAATAGTTACAAATTAAAGAGAACACACCATGCAATGTACGTGGTTTGAAAATAAATTTCGCGAAATCATCGCGATAAAAGTGCTACATACCTCATTGCTGAATATGACTGTAGTCGCCTTCAAAGTACTCCCTTTGGGAAGCTATGCACAGATGTCAGCGTCTAGTCCACCCTTCAAAACAATTTTCGAAATGATTTTTTAATGACCTTCAGAGCTGCCGTCGTATTACTCATCAGTGACAATAACACTCCTTCCTTTCAATATTTCCTTTATCTTTTGGAACAGAAAAAAGTCATGGGGGATGCACTTGCACTAAATCTGTCTGATTTCGCTTCCACTCTTGCCAAGTTTAACAAAAAGCTCCGGCATTCTCGCGACGGCACACCAAAACACACTCAGACAATAATAGACGCCACTCGGAGACGGCCACAGATCAACAACAACACAGCTGTGATACCCTGATATGCTAACATCATCTGACCATATTGAGGCTTCTGCCCACTGCTGCTACGGCAAGCACACGGTGGCTAGTTCGCGAACTTTATTGTCGGACCAGGTACACTCGACCAGATATTGGCTAACTCCAATATAACTTGTAGGAAAGTGGAAATGCATGTGGAACACTGTCCGTGTGTGTAAGAGTGGAGGGGAATCCATTTGCTGGGGCTGATTGGAAATAACCCTACCGCATACCCTTGCGGAAGACCTACTTTGAGCAACCACAGTCCCTACAACTCGATTACTATCCATTTCGGTCTGCCTTTCCCCTAGTGCCCTAAGCTGTCTGTGGGTTTGCTGATATGTCGAAGTGATAGTTCCCTAGCGTGCTGTAATCCTATCAAGCAAGAAGTATAGGACTTTGTTTTTTTAGAATGTTAAAGAAGGAAATTGAAAACGGAAATTGTCTCGTTTACAAAATTTATTTCTAGATCATTTCACCGTCCCTTATTTTATTTGTTCCTTTTTATTAAATTTGTTGTATTTAACGAAGGTTTCAATTACGATTAATACGATAAATATGGAATTATAGGTAAAAGGTAAAGCTATCCCTGTGACAGGCTGTGCAGGTTCATAGGGTTGTGAGAGGTGGAGGTTCCCACATCTTCTAGAACAGTGGTCTTCATTCTGGGGTACGCGCACCTCCGGGGGTACGCAAAATTAAAATTCGTCCCCGAATTGAGGTACTGGCATGCCAGAAACAAGTTCAATTATCTCATTAGCAGGTCAGAACCAGGACAGTATTTGATAAAATATTTAATCATATATTTTTGCTTTGCTAAATTACCTTTGTTCCTTTCTTAATTTTTATACGATAGACAATTACATATTTGTTATTTAATAGTTTGATTCTCATTTTTCTCATTTGAAACTTTTTATTTACTACATTATTTTGAATGCAGTTTATTTCATTTTTTCTAGTACATAGATTATGCACTGTATAACTTGCAGTAAACACCACCAAATTTGGGGATACAAAGTTGAAGAGAAATTACATCTGGTTGTACGTAAATAAAGACGTTGAATACTACTGTTCTAGACAATCGGCTCAGAGATGACGGTGAGGTTGTCAGCCTTACGCGCCGGCCGCCCTTTACTCCCCAAGAATATTCCTGGTATTCATTTCTGTTAGAGGCTGACTCGACTCCAGGGCCATAGTGCGGCTGGAAGAAATAGGTCAGTTGAAAAAATCCAGTGACCTCCTCGAAATTCCGCCTTGTAGAATAGAATTAGGAAATAAAATTTGGAGAAGATTTGGAAGGAACTGCTTGGACTAATATAGGGCACTATCCTGGGGTTTGCCTGGAAGAACTGAAGAGAAGAACGGAAATTTTGGGTCAGGATAGTAGGTCTGAGGGCGGGGATATGAAGCCGATACCTTCCAAATA